GGGATTAAATAAGCTTATGCTTCTTCCTGCTCCTTTTTGAACATGAAAGTTATTTGTAGTTGTGGTTGCTCGTTTTCTTTTTGTTTTGCTTTGTTTATTTGTCTCTTTTAATTCTATGTTGTTGTACTTTAACATGTTCAAAATAAAGATTCCATCAATCAATCAATCAATCAATCAAATATTGATGTTGGCCATAATCCAAATGAGAAAAAAAAGATTAAATGTTTGTCTAAACACTGCACTCAGAAATTTCATAACTGAAAAATGTTAAAAATGTTTCACCTGGAGGAAAACACCATGCAGCTTTATCTACGTCTCTAAAATAATCATAACCCAACTATATACAATAATACACATAATGAAATAACTGTGCAGCTATGATAATGTTATAATTGTTTTATTTAAAAGGGTTAATCTGACCTATTAATCTTTTTTGTAAGTGAACTTTTGCTAATACATTTTTTTCTTCTACAGTATGAGTACGGTGACCCTGGGAGCACACTCGATCAAGAAAAAAGAAAAAGCTTCTAAGCAGGTCCAAAAGGTTGATAAACGTTTTCCTCATCCTGACTATTACCAGGGATCCAGGGAGAATGACCTCATGTTGCTCAAGGTAAAGTGATCATTCATTGTCTGAAACCAAGTTAAAAAAAGATGCATTTATGTGAATACGTTTGTTTTTAATCTTATATGATGTATTTCTGTGTGTGTATGGATAAATCAATAAATCGCTGTGCCTATTTATACATTTTCCAAGCAAAATGTACAAATATGTCACGGCAAATGGATCCGACTCAGGCTCAGACTGGAATCACAAGTTAGCAGTTCTTTTATTTACACAAAACACCAGGTGCAGAATATATATACAGGTGGGAGGAAAGCCAGGGGTTCCAGTGGTCTACCGGGTAGGTTTAGGGGAGAGAATCAGATCCTTCTCACTCGTTCGCTCTGTTTGAGAGTTCCACATGCACGCCACCCCAAACTGCCAACATCCACGTTTAAGTTTCCACGGTTCAGGAAGTCTAAGCACAGAGAGACGAAAGTCACAAATAGGTTCATACACAAGCACACTAGAATTCACCGAGCTGGATTTACACTAACGTATCAAACTCAATAGTCCAGCGATGAGGAGCTCAGAGCCACTGCCGTAAGAAGTGGCCCGAGATTAGGAGCAGGTGTGTGGTCCAAAAGCAGAAGCTTGGAGTGAGCTCCACCCAGGCAGAGCAGTGAGAGAGCAAAACCAAAACACATGTAGCCTTGCGGGGGGCCGACCATGACAAAATAAATGAGTGGTGTTTCAAGACTGTAGCACAGTGCTGTATATATACAAAATTTAAGGCCAGCTCTCTAAAGTTAATATAGTCATTATCAATATCTTTGTTTTTCATTTTGTTTCAGTTGAAGAAACCAGTAAAGCAAACCAAGACAGTACAATGTCTCCAGTTAGCCAAAGTTGTCAAGGACCCTCCAGCTGGAGGCAAGTGTCTGGTTGCTGGATGGGGAAAAACTGAAAACAACAAAACATCAGATGTTCTCCTGTCTGTCAATGTGACTGTGGTCAGTAGACAGACATGCAACTCTCGTGATTATTACAACCGCAACCCAGTTATCACCAGTGACATGATATGTGCTGGTTCAAATAGTGGAAAAAAGGCTGATACCTGTCAAGTAAGTATATAGAAAGTATGTAAGGAAGTAAATATCTATATTAAAATATCCATCCAACTCAACACCTTTTTGTTCTTTTGTCAGGGGGATTCAGGAGGACCTATCATCTGCGATGGAGTGCTGGTTGGCATCACTTCTTTTGGAAGAGGTTGTGGTATCATTAAAAAACCTGGAGTCTACTCGTTTCTCTCAGAGAAACGCCTCAAGTGGATCAAAAAAACAATGCAATCCTCAGAAATGTTATGAACCCACAGGTGTCAGTCTATACAAGCTGAGCAAGAAGCAAATATTTTCTTTGATATTAAATGTCCATGCTTTTAATGTAGTCTGCTTACTTGACCATTGTCCATTTTATCATTTCATATTCTATTTTCTGATATTTCAGTTTCTGTTAGCTTGATGAAATTCTTTTTCATCTATGAAAAATATTTTTTGAGCATGCTCTTTTATGTTGATTTTTCATTCCATCTATCTCTGCTTAAAAACCCCCATAAGTTTGCGGTTTGTGGGGCAAGCCTTGTGGAGGAGACATAAGGACCCAGAATGCAGGCAAGGCTGAGATGTGAGTGAGCTTTATTGCAGGAGGGTGACACACAACCAAAAGTGAGGGTGCAAAAAACAGAAGAAAGAAAGACTCTCAACCAAGAAAACTAATAAAACAAAACTCAAACCTAAATTTATAGGAGAACATGGGGAAAGAAACACAGAATGAAGCAGGGAGGTAAGTCAGACAGACCAGTAACACGCAGGATAAAACACAGGGTTTATATACAGACAGGAGCAATCAGGGAATGAGAAACAGGAGGGAGACACAGCTGGGGTAAATTATACATAACGAGAGAAGGGGAAGCAAAACTACACTCACTGCATGTAGGACGGGGACTATCAAAATAAAACAGGAAACGAGACAATTAAAAAGACGAGGACTTGACACTGAGAGACAGACTGAAAGAATATGACACATGGAACACAAGGAAGACAGTGACTTAAACTAGAAACCAGAACAGCAAATAACATCAAGAGAGCACTGGGAAACACCCAGGACCATGACAATAAGATATTTTTTATAAACCTTCTACTTCATAATAAAGCTGGAGGCATTAATCCTTCTCTCTTTCTTTCATTGTTTGTAACTCTGTCATCTTTTTACTCCTATACATACACCACAGCAGACACATGCTAGGTTTCTATACAGGAAGAGTGCACAATTTCCCCAAAGCCCACTAGACTATGACTTACTCAGCGTGCACATTTTCAGAGGACATGCAGTCATGATCTATATATATATCATATATGCCCCAACACTCTTTCAATTATCATTTCAAGCCCTCTTCTTTTCCTAAATAACACAATGTAGTTATTATTCATTATGATACATTTGACCACAGGTGTTAAATTAATATTCAAGGTTTTATTGTTTCATGTGTGGTGCAACACCATGTGATACATAGCTACTAATCAAAAAGTGATGTGTTATGTGGACCCATGAATATAAGTATTGATACGTTTGCAGAAGAGCAGGACAAGTTGACTGCAGTAGAGAGCAGCACAATGATAATTTTATTCATAATAAAATCTATTTTGACAGGACCTTTCTAAACCAAAGTTAGAAGGTGCTTCACTTAATTTACCAAAAACTGAATTAAAAACATTATGAAGAAAATTAAAATTCATAACACAAGAAAATACACAAACAAAAAAAGCAAATACAAAAAAGATGAAGAAAGCAGGGAAGAAATTTTGATAAATAAACATATATAAATAAAAAAAACAACAAAACAACGTTCTCTAAAAAGAGCCGGAATTCCCAACCCATTGGGCACGTCAGGTCTGTCCAGCGTCCTCGCCCACCACCTGATCCAACTCACCACCAGGTGGTGATCAGCTGACAGCTCAGCCCCTCTCTTTACCCCAGTGTCTCAAACATATGCTTGCACGTTTGGTGATATGATTGCAAACTCAATCATCGAACTACGGCCTAGAGTGTCCTGGTGCCATGTGCACTTATGGACACTCTTATGTTTGAACATGGTGTTTGTTATGGCCAAACTGTGGTTTGCACAGAAGTCCAACAACAAAACACCCCTCAGGTTCAGCTCCGTAAGGCCGGTCCTCCCAATCACGCCCCTGCAGGTGCCTGGAAAAGAATCGTTTCTTAAATGCTGAGACGACTAACGAGATGATTATTGACTCGAGGATGAGGAGAGACCAGCATGCCCCACTATACATCAACGGGACTCGGGTGGAGAGGTCACTGATGTGGGTGCCGAGGAACCTCGGCACCCACATCAGTGAGGATCTCAACTGGACCCATAACACACAGCAGATCATCAAGAAGGCTCAACAACGACTCTTCTTCCTACAGAAGATGAGGAGATTTGGATTAACGTCCAAACCGCTCAGCAACTTTTACAGATGTACAGTGGAGGGTATCCTGACAAACTCCATCATAGGAAACAGCACCACACACCACAACAGGAAGGCTCTCCAATGTGTTATTAAAACGGAACAATTCATCTGTGGAGTACCCCTCACACCACTTCAGGACATTTAGCACACCCAGATCAGAAAAAGGGAACAGAATATATTAAGGACTGCACCCAGCCACAGAACGCACAATTCACACTCCTGCCATCTGACAGACGCTACAGGAGTTTGAAAGCAAGGACAGTCAGACTAAAAAGCAGTTTCTATCCACAGGCCACAGGCTACTGAATCACTGACTAATTGTTGTAATTATCTTTAACCTGTAATTCGCAATTTTGTACATTTATATACAACATAATACAACTTCATACAATATAAACATTTTAATATTGCATATTCTGTATATATTACCACTGTGACAGTGTTGCACCAACTAAATTCTGACTACAAGCTACATACTACAGGCTTCTTCACAGCGGGCCCCAACTGAAGAACTGAGAACTTGGAAGATGTTTCTCCTCAGAGGCTCATTAAAAGTCCATGGAGTCACCCACAGACAGGAAAAACCGGGAGTTGGGGGTTCCTACAACTCAAATGTCTCTTTTCTTGGCTGTAGCTCAGGTGGCAGAGCAGGTCAGCCACTAATCAGAAGGTCGGTGGTTCGATCCCAGGCTGCCTCCTGGCTGCATGTCAAATATCCTTGGGCAAGATACTAACCCCATGTTGCCTACTGGTGGTGGTCAGAGGGGCCGGTGGCGCCAGTGTCCGGCAGCCTCGCCTCTGTCAGTGCGCCCCAGGGCAGCTGTGGCTACAATGTAGCTTGCCATTGCCAGTGTGTGAATAGGTGAATGACTGAATGTAGTGTAAAGCGCTTTGGGGTCCTTAGGGACTGAGTAAAGCGCTATACAAATGCAGGCCATTTACCATAAGCACTTGTTTTACTTTATTTATTTATTTTCTATCTCAGTTATTCTTTATTTTAGTTAGTTGTCTTTTTATTTGTGTGAAGGGAACCTACAAAGTAAGGATTTTATTGCCCTGCATAACCACTTGTATTTTGCAGTGTATATGACAATAAACTTCTTGAATATCTTGAATCTTGAATTTAGTTGTGGTCACTGAAGACCACAAAAGAATTTCTACAGATCTGTAAACATGTAACATGTCTGTGTGCAAAAAAAACATTATTTTTAATCAAGTGTTAATTTCCCACGAAGTTCAATCAGTTCATCGTGCCAGCTGGATATTAACTGTCTTCGAGGCCCATTGTAGTCAGTATATTTTAATGCAGAACATTAAAACTTTTATTTTAATAAAAGCTTATTTATACAGAATTGTCCTATTCTGTAGTGTTAATATTTTAGCATAGCATTTAGACTAGAATACTTCTTCCACAGCTGTAAAATGTTCATAATGAGCATTTGATCAGAGACAGTCACACCACGTGGGCTCTGAATTTTTGTGGCCTGTTTAATCACAGTGATTCATAACATGAAACATGCAGGTAACTTGCACTCACTGTGACACTGACTCTCAGTTTCCATACTACACCACTAGATGGTGTTCTCTGCCATATGGTTTGAGCACTGTGTGCCTTCAGTCTAGCAAATGAAACTAGAAAACTAATCATTTAAAAACATATGAACAAGTGGTTAAACTGATTAATGCTATTTTTGATCAACACTGACTATTGTGGCAACATTAATACATTTTTCTGCAGTGCACAATAAACCAAATTTAGTCAGTATTTGGGATTTTCCACAATTAGCAAGATTTGATCAATACTACTACTTAAAGGGCAAAGTAAAAGCAAATCAAGTGCTCCTTCAATCAGCACCTTACCATGTGTAGGCATCCACCAGGCACAGTTATTTCCTGTATGCTGCAGTTTCCCGAAAAGGAAAACAGCCTGTAAAAAAGACAGATGTACAACAAAAAGCAAAGCAAACAAAGCATGTCCTTCAAAACAGATGATCAGCATTGTTTGGATACACTCTGGCTTTAGTGCAAGTGACTAAGAAGAATTCATATGAAAATAGTGATGTAGAGTTGTGTATGCACTGCAAAACAACACAACTAATGTCCAAAATATGAATCGCACACTGGCAGTATATTGGCAGTTGGTGGGTAGCTATGGACTTCCACCTGCAGAGAGTGTCTGTTTTCCGATGGGGCTGTGCCAAAAATATGTGGTACAACTGGTCTGTAGACTACTGTCGTTTGAGCTATTTTTGGTCAATCAGCTAGCTGAATAGAAGAGAAAAGTTATAACAGCTGAAGTGAAACCAAGTGTTAAAAACAACAAAACGTTTCCTTGGTAGCCACTGTTTGTACTTTTTATTATGTATTTTTTGATGAATGGTGTTTGATTCCCTCTTCTCCCATTCCTGGTAAGCTCAGCTATCCAGCCCTTCCCTAATGCATGCCACTAGTCCTCCAGACCGCATTCAATCAAGGCACAGGATCATTCACAACAAGCAACGCAATGTTGGGATTTTGTAGGACTGCACAGGGGCATGTTTGCAGTAGTTGAATACCCCTCTCTGTATGCTGTCCATAGGCAAATCCCTCTACAAATAGAAACATAAATTAGGCATAAATCTTTCAACCACCTTACAACACACTTCAAACTGCAGAATAGTTTTTGCATGAAGACCAAGAAAAAAAGTGCAATGGCTGTTAACACAGTGCATCTGCGTATCACAAATACACACTGGCCTCAATGCAAACATAAACCAATTGCATAACTATTTAAACAAATATGCCAGTCCACAAGAATTTTTCAATGTGGTAGTACAAACACCGTATGAAAAACATCA